AGAAAATATTACTGTACAAACTGCATTGTACATAAATCAAATGAACATTTTCATATTAGTCAATAATATTACTGTTATTAGTTAAAAGAAACGAAATAAATTTAGATTTACACTCATTTACTCAAGTAAATAAACAGAATTAATGATGGGCTAAAAATCTGCTGAAATCTGCGGTATTCTGCGCGCGCAGATTCCGTGTGGGCCTGCTAATTACTGAATAAAGTATCGCCATTTGTAACGCCGTTTATTTATAGCACCGTTATTCCATCACTGATGGAGACATAGCTAATGATGACAGAATTTTAATTTTTGCGTGAATTGTCCATTTAAGTTGCAATTTTGCTAATTAGACGTTTGTTTGAAGCCATAATGAACATTATATTCTGCTTTCCTTTGCGTCATTCCTAAACATTTATATATATATTTTTATTTATTTTTAATTCCCAGGTTATGTTCGTTGATTCATCTCCCGAATTCTTATTGCCAATCCTAAGCCAACTGGAAATACTTGTTTTGGTTCAATTTGGAATTTCCCCAACCAATGACGAGCCAGGGCAAAGAGCTTAGAATGACCAAGAGGCGACACTCAATTGAACGTTCCATTGCAGCAGCAGCACCCAGCCACAGCCCCAGATTCCGCCATTTTGGAGTCAAAGCGGTCGGCTGTCCATTGGATCTTATTGCCGTGGCGATGGCAAGCAACTGCTTTGTTTTTTATTTATTTATTTAAAAAGCGCATTAAAGCTGAGAAACAACCTGAAAGACGACAATACAGCACTTACTATCACAATCATCAGCACTTTTAATAGTTTATTTGACAGACTTATAATATGCTGTTGTTCTATTGGAGTTTTCATTCCAAAATGGCCGACGCGCCTCTAGTGGCTGTTTCCCAAATCACACTAGAGTGTCGCCTCTTGGTGATTCTATGCTCTTTGGTAATAGTTTATTATTGTTTTGATTATAATACATACACTTTACACTGTACAAATGACTGGGATCACTGTTTTCACACAAAAACAATTCCTTCATGTTATCCCAACACAAACTGATCAAGTTAACTATTTTCTTTCACAAAGTTAAGTGGATTGAACATAACACAACTGAGTTGTCCCAAACAAATCCCATGAAGTTTGTTGTTTTGGCTCATTTGAAGCATGTAGTTTGAACAAGCAGCAAAAAAAAAATAAAATAAATAAAAAATAAATGTTTTACTGGCAGATGCCATTCCCGCAGTTGAAGTCAGAATTGTTAGCCCCCCTGAATTATTAGCCTCTCTGCATATACCCCCCCCCCAATTTCGGTTTAGCGGAAAGAAGATTTTTTTCAACACATTTCTTAACATAATAGTTCTAATAACTTATTTCTAATAACTGATTTATTTTATCTTTGCCATGATGACAGTAAATAATACTTTACTAGATATTTTTCAAGATACTTCTATACAGCTTAAAGTTAAAGGCTTAACTAGGTTAATTAGTCAAGTTAGGGTAATTAGGCATGCCGTTGTATAATGATGGTTTGTTCTGTAGACTATCAGAAAAAATATTGCTTAAGGAAGTGAATAATTATGACCTGTTTTTTAAAAAATTTAAAACTGCTTTTATTGTAGCCTAAATAAAACCAATAAGACTTTCTCCAGAAGGAAAAGCATTATAGGATATACTGTGAAACACTACTTGCTCTGTTAAGTAAATATAAAAAAATAATAATAATTAAGGGCGAATAATTCTGACTTCAACTGTATATTAAAAAAGTAAAAAGATGACACTTTTTAAGGTTAGGGTGCGCCACTTCTGATCCAAGCGCTCTTTTTAGCTGCTGCTTCTAAGCAGCAGTGAAATGAACAGACGGCCTTTGATATAAATACTCAAGGAAAAATGTAAACGCTGTGAAGCATCGCAGACTAAATCACACTGACCTGATCAGAATCACAGAATAAACACTGTCTGTCTGATTCATTCTTCAGTGGAAATAAGAAGTGTGTGTTGTGTGTGTGCTGGATTTAGTGGTTTACAAGGACAGTTTGTTTTGTATAATGACATGAGTATGACCTGGGTGTACTCTATTTTAGTGGTTTACGAATAGATGTCTGATGTCCTTGTAATTAAAAATGCTTCAAAATCATACTCAATGGGGACGTTGACATTCATATTTTGCCACGTTTCCTGTGAGGGTTGGATTCAGGGGTAATCTGTGTGTATGTGTGTACTGGTTTTAGTGGTTTACAAGGACAGTTTTTTTTTGTATGGTGACATGAGTATGACCTAAGTCTACTCTATTTCTGTGACAGACACGCTTGATGTGCTTGTAATTGTGTGTGTGTGTGTGTGTGTGTGTGTCTGTGTATGTGCATTTGTTTGTCTCTGACTGTCATTCTGTGTGTGTCTCAATCCCTGTGTTTGTGTGTGCAACTTTTTGTGTATGTGTTTTATGTCTGACTGTCATTCTGTGTCTGTGTGTGTCTGTACGTCGCTGTGTGTGTATGTGCTTTTGTGTCTTTCTGTGTGTGAGTTCGTCTGTCTGTCTCTTTCCTTGCGTATGCGTTTATATATTTTGTGTCTGACTGTCTCTCTCTCTCTCTCTCTCTCTCTCTGTGTGTGTGTGTGTGTGTGTGTGTCGCTTTGTGAGTTTTTGTGTATGCATCTCACTTTTTGTGTCTGTTTATCTGTTTGTCTTTGTTTATGTGTGTGTATGCATCTCTCTTTTTGTGCATTTGTGTATCTCTTACTGTGTGTGTGTGTGTGTGTGTGTGTGTTTGTGTGTGTGTGTGTCTGTGTGTATACTTTTCTATGTTTGTGAATGTGTGTTTACATTTAGATTTAGTCATTTAGCACATTCTTTTGTCTAAAGCGACTTAATATTTAGGAGGGATTCAACAAGAAGAGTGTTTCTGCAGGTGGTTTGTCAAACCCACACTGCAAGAAAGTGTCTAGTGCAAATGTGCAAAACTGCTGCAAGTGTGGGTTAAAGTGTCCGAGAGATGAACTAGTGAGCTTCCTACAGGTGGTTTGTCAAGCCCACTCACCTGTGTGAGGCATGTTTTGAGGATGTCAGTGGTTCTTCATCTTCACAGGGCTCTTCATCTGTGTGTATGTGTGTGTTTGTGTATTCTGTCTCTGTATGTGTTGTGTATGTCTCTTTGTGTGTGTGTGTGTGTGCGCGCATATGTCTCTTGTCTCTTTTTTGTGTATGCGCATATGTCTGTCTCTCTTTTATGTGTTTAATTGTTTCTGTGTGTATGCATGCTTCTTTCTGTGTTGTGTATGTCTCTCTCTTTCTGTGTGTTTGTGTGTGTGTGTGTCTCTGGAGTGATTTTAACAAGCTTCAGCTGGAGTAGTTTTGTAGACAATGAAACTGTTCCTTAAGTTGATCACCTAAACACACACAAACACTTCAGCATATGTGTGTGTGTGTGTGGTCTTCATATCTGTGTGTGTGTGTTCAGTGTTCATATGGTCAGTCGACCTCTGTAATGCTCATAAAACCCTCGTCTACTTCTGCTTGTTTGTCTGATGGGTTTTTTGGATTTGTGGTTTCGTGGGCACAGATTTGAATGTTTATTACACACATCTATAGTGCTTATTATTTTAGCTTGTTTGCTGATACAATTAAAATCTTTGTATGGTGGTTTGTTGTCATACGACCTCAGTATTTTGGTGGTGTAATTCAGTAATATTGATTTAATTCAGTATTCTGTTTAAAGATACTATAACTAGTTTTTAATTTGATAGGATAGTATTTAATATGATAATATGATCTGATGACAAATTCTGTCAATATTATTATTATTTATTATTATTATTATTTTTTATTATTTATTTATTATTATAATTATTATTTTGGAGGGTTCTTAAATGTGAGGTAATCTGTAGTAAGTGCTGATTTTTTTTTTTGTTTAAAAATATTTTCAATATATTACAACATTTAATATATTTATGGTAAAGGTATTTTAATAAATATATATTTTTAAATGTATCTACTGCATATTCTTTTGTTGTTATACACAATAAAACACGAAGTTAAAGCTATTTTTATTATGCATCTTTTTGGAAATTAATAAATATGTTGGCTATGATTTTTAATTTAATTTAATTTAATTTAATTTAATTTAATTTAATTTAATTTAATTTAATTTAATTTAATTTAATTTAATTTAATTTAATTTTTATTATGTAATAAAATATCAGATAGTTCTTATTGGAAATTGTTATGTTTCCCCTCCCTAAAATTCGTTTTAATTAATTTTTAATTAATTTTCATGTCATTTCATTCCTTTTCATGTAATTTTAATGTTATTTATAATAAATAAATAAATAAATAAATAAATAAATAAATAAATAAATAAATAAGGGTAACACTTTAACATAGTGGTCCATCAGTTTATGTCAGTTAATGTATGTACTATTATGCAATATTTATTCAGCTTTGTTAACATTCTTTTATATTATTTAAATTAAATAATGTTAGTTTATTGTTAGTTTATGTAAACTCACAGTGCATTAACTAATGTGGACATTAATAATGCGCTAGTAAATGTTAATAAATGCTTTATAAGCTTATTCATACCTAATTAATGTTAGTATCTACATTAACTACTGGACCATTATTCTAAAGTGTTACGCAAGTAAGTAAGTAAGTATAAGTAAGTAAGTGAGTAAGTGAGTGAGTAAGTAAGTTAGTAAATAAGTAAACAGTTATATATACCAAGTTCCAGTTAGCTTAATTGTAAAATGTGCATAATAATATAATATAATATAATATAATATAATATAATATAATATAATATAATATAATATAATATAATAAAATATAATATAATATAATATAATATAATATAATATAATATAATATAATATAATATAATATAATAAAATATAATATAATATAATATAATATAATATAATATAATATAATATAATATAATAAAATATAATATAATATAATATAATATAATATATTATAACCTGCATTAATGTGTCTTTTTTTTGTGGCAATGTCTGTGACTTAAAGTGCATTTGATCTAATGCTGTGTCTCTTTCTCTGTGTGTGTGTTTTTTCTGCAGCTGAGCCAGCCGATCTCCTAAAGATTTTAGATTTTCACAGTTTACCAGACGGTGTAACGAAAACTACAGGATTCTGCACACACCGGAAGTCATCGAAAGGGCCTGATGTCGCTTACAGAGTCACAAAAGATGCACAGCTTAGCGCTCCTACTAAACAACTGTACCCCTGTGAGTAACACACAAACATGCACAAACCTATAAAACACACAGGTGCAGTCAGTTCTTCTGCGTGTATTTAATGTGTCTTTTTTTCAGAGAACTCTTTTCTCATCTAATCTCATCTCATCTTCTCCTGCTTCAGACACACTGGATAATTTTACTTTTAATTTAATTTAATTTAATTTAATTTAATTTAATTTAATTTAATTTAATTTAATTTAATTTAATTTAATTTAATTTAATTTAATTTAATTTTATTTTATTTTATTTTATTTTATTTTATTTTATAATTTTTATACAATTTTATAAAATTTTATTTTATTAAATTTTATTTTGTTTTTTTAGATTTGTTCATTAGAGATTAAAATACCAAAAAGTTAAAATCTCTGAAATTTTCTGAAACTTTTTTAGACCGTTTTTAGAATTAAAAATGTATATGCCAATTTAAAATTTTTGAATTTTATTATTTTTATTTCTAAATATAAATCTAATACATTTCTAAAACTAAATAAAAAAAAAAAAAAAAAACTATTTAAATAAAAAAACTTATTGTATAGGAATGGAAACATTTATTTATTTATTTATTTTTAATTGTATAATAATAATAAAGTGCATAAATAATAATAAAAAACAACAACAACGTAACTATATAAGGTAAGCAAATATTATACCTTTTGGATGTTACATTATTTTTTAGGAATATAATAATTACCAAGTAAAATTTAATTTAATTTAATTTAATTTAATTTAATTTAATTTAATTTAATTTAATTTAATTTAATTTAATTTAATTTAATTTAATTTAATTTCCTAGAAGATATAGAGGTTATTTTAGATTTGTTCATTAGATCATTTTTAGACCATTTTTAGAATCAAAAATGTACAAGCATATTTCAAATATTTATTTTATCATCTAAATGCACATATTATAATAAATGCATTTATTATCTATTCTTCTAAAACAAAATAAAATCTGAAGAACTATTAGAATAAAAAGCTAATTAAGTAGGATACTTAATAATTATTTTATTTTATTCATTTATTTATTTATTTATTTTAAATTGTATAATGTAATACATACGGTAATATATAAGGTAATATATAAGGTAAGGAAACATTATTACTTTTTGACATTACACTACTTTTAAATAAATTCTATAATATACAAGCATAACCCAAACTGTATTTAATTACATGTGCTGTAAATCTTAATATTGTAACACTGGTCACTATTGTTGTTTTCGTCCTTTATTTAGATTTTATGTGTCTATCTATTGCTACACCATTGCAAATCTCCTTTTACTTTATAATACGTCGCTTTCTGTCACCTTCCGTTAAAAAAAACACACATCAAATCAAGTTACAGGACTGAAATACAATTAAAGTCTAAATTATTAGCCCTCTAAGCTAAATGATGTTTAACAGAGCAAGGAACTTTTCACAGTATTTCCTATAATATTTTTTCTTCTGGAGAAAGGCTTATTTGTTTTATTTCGCCTGGAATAAAAGCAGTTTTTTTATTTTTTTTAAAACCATTTTAAGGTCAATATTATACCACTTAAGCAATATTTTTTTTCTTGATTGTCTAAAGAACAAATCACTGTTAATGACTTGCCTAATTATCCTATTCAAGCCTTTAAATGTCACTTTAAGCTGAATACTAGTATCTTAAAAAATATCTACGCAAATATTATTTACTGTCATTAAGATAAAAGATAAAAGACATCAGTTATTAGCAATGAGTTATTAAATCTATTATGTTTAGAAATGTGATGAAAAAAATCTTCTTTACGTTAATTAGAAATTGAGGAAAAATTATACAGTAGGGCTAATAATTCAGGAGGGCTAATAATTCTGGAGGAATAATAATTCAGGGGGGCTAGTAATACTGACTTCAACTGTATGTAATAATGTAAGTGCTCTCTTCGTTTCTCTTTATCCCCACACAATGGTCTGGAAAGTCACGGTGCCCCAGACTTTCTTTTTGGCAGGAACTTTGAAAATCTGAAGAATCTGATGGAAGGAGGGAGAGAAAAGGCAGACGAGGACAGAGATTCAATACCAGTGTAATGAGACTAAACTAGAGCTAAATCACACACGCACACACAGAGAGAGGGAGAAAGAGGGAGAGAAAGAGAGAGACAGCGGCTACACTCCAAAGCACACTCGGCTCCCTATGTAGAGTGTTCATAAGCTTCTGGATGCGGAAACTGTTTTAAATAATATATATGTTCTGAATTTTTATATGTAGCCTGTAATTTTAGCATAAATTATAAAGTCTTCTAAGACATATTGCTTTGCACTATAGCATTGTTCACTTGTAGCATTTTTAATTCTTATTTTAAGGCAAAGATAACTACTGTTTTATTTATTTTTTGACTTACCAGACTGTATTTTACTGTTAAGAAAATAGTATGCAAAATATTTTTTATTTAATTTTATAATTTCAAGCATTACCAGGAAATTTGCTTTAATTAAATTAAAATGTTCAGTATTTTATTTATAAATAAATGTATAAATTGAATTTAATAAATAATTATATTTTTATTTATAAATATTAGTAAATAAACAAAATACAATACAAAAGTGAAGTTACAAATAATATATAAAAATATTAAATAAATATTACTTTATTTATTATTAACATTATTAAATAATAATGTTTTTAACATTAAACTGTTTTATTATTAGTACATAAATTAAATTAAATTAAATTTTAAATTGTTTAATTGTTTATTTTTGCAGGTCAAATTAAATAAAATTTTTACTTTACTTTTTACTTTTTTTAACTGAACTTTTCACCATAAATACGACACAATATAATACAAAAAATGTAAAATATGACATATTTTGTTTTATTTAAAAATCAATTAAAAATACATAAAAAATTATCAATTTAATTGACTTTAATTACAATATTTTTATTATTAATCAAGTATTTTTTATTGATTAAATAAAAAAATAAACTTTAAAAATCTATAACAAAACAATTGTTATTTTAACATTTAATTGTTTTAGTATTAGTATATAATACCTTTACATGCTTGTTTATTTTTTTATTGTTACACAAGTAAAATGTACAAAAATACATTTTATAAATGTAAATACAACATAATATAATAAAAATGTAAAATATATATTATTTTGTTTTATTTTAAAATAAATGAAATATATCTAAGAAAGGATATTTCATTTATTTTTATTTTATTTTATTTTATTTTATTTTATTCATCAAAGGTCGCCACAGCAGAATGAACCACCAACTAATTCAGCATATGTTTTACACAGCAGATGCCCTTCCAGCTGCATCCCAGTACTAGGAAACACCCATACACTCTCACATTCACACACATACACTACGGACATTTTAGTTTATTCATTTCACCAATAGCGTATGTCTATGGAAACTGGAGCGCTCAGAGGAAACTCACGCCAGCAAGGGGAGAACATGCAAACTCCACATAGAAATGCCAATTGGCCCAGCCGGGACTTGAACCAGCGACCTTCTTGTTGTGAGGCGACAGTGCTCACCACCGAGCCACCGTGACGCTCATTTTAATTTATTTTATTTTAATTTATCTACAACAGTTTGAATTTTTCAAGTGGTTCTCATACTGTTACACTTCATCAAGCAGTTTTTGAATGCAGGTGCCTCTAGGAGGCATCTCAATACAGCACATGCAGTCTTTATATTTATCTAGCTATTTAAACAGCGATTTGTCCTCGTCATTCCCTGTTTCAGCTAAAATGCTACTTCATATCTATTTGTGCTTGTCTTAATTCTTAAAACCCCCCTGAATCATTATCCCTCAGAGAATGCCCCAGATGAAGGGAGTTTTTGTCAGATTTAACTCACTCCTGCGGATGATTTTTGTCCCCGAAGTCCAGCTAAGCAAACACACACGCCTGCATGCTTGAGAAAGACACCGGCAGACTGAACACATGTGGAAGAAATGAATCATCCTTCGCTCCAAACACAATGCATCTGTTCTTTCTGTACTCTTTTCCTGCAGCTGGTTACAAAAAGTCTTAAATTCCTCTTCCTTTTCTTCTCCTTCACAACACCCCCTTATACAAACCCATAAAGCTATTCTTTCTCTCTTTTTTTGCTTGTTTGTTTGGTAACAGAGAGGTCAGAGGTCACGGAGATGCTTTGTAAACACCTGGTATGTTTTGACTGGTTGCCAGGCAACAGAGTGGTGATCCACACACAAGCACTCTACTGCTGCTTCCTGATTCGCATACTATCTGTCCTAAATAGTATTCAAAAATGTACTTAGTGTGTTCCAAAAAAAAGAGTATGCAGAACTTTTGCTGGATGGTCTACTATTTCCTGTAGAAAATCAGCGTGTAGAACTGTCCATAATGTAACTGCTAACATTGACCACAATACATGGCATGTTTGACCTAAATTCCATTAGAACTACAAACTCAGCAAAAAAGTGTTATTAAACTACAAACATGGTGGATGAGCTAGACCAATTGTCAAGTATAGAGGCTTTGATAAAATTGTTTGAATATTTTTTTAATCGGATTAAAGTCCGGGGGTGCATGGTTCCTAAAGGACTGGAGCAAGGTAAAGCTGTGTGGACTCAGTGCTTCTTTCTCTTAGGTTTGCATTTTAAAACACTATTGGTTGGGATTAGTGAAGGGTTTAGGTCAGTGGTTTGCTAGCTGATCTATACGACAAGCTCCGCCTTCTTGTGGATGTGTACTAGAGGGAGGTTTATCTGAAATGTACAACAAACTACAGTTTCCCAAAAAAGTACACAGCACCTTCTAGTAAATTTGACATCTGAAACGTGCAATGAAACATGCCCTAAATAATGTATTTTAGATTTGCAAACATGTAGACAGCGCCTTTTAGTGGATTTTACATCTGAAACATTCAACGAAACGTGGCCTGAGTAAGGTAGTTTAGATTCACAAAATTGTAGACAGTGCCCTCTAGTGGATTTGACATCTAAAACATGCAACAAAACGTGTCATGAGAAACGTATTTAACCCTC